GCACCCCTAGTTCACCACGCTCACACCCCAGCCTGCACCCAGCTCACCATGCTCACACCCCAGCCTACACCCCTAGTTCCTCATGCTCACGCCCCAGCTCACCACGCTCACGCCCCAGCCTGCACCCAGCTCACCACGCTCACACCCCAACTCACCACGCTCACACCCCAGCCTGCACCCAGCTCACACCCCAGCCTGCACCCCTAGTTCACCATGCTCACGCCCCAGCCTGCACCCAGCTCACCACGCTCACGCCCCAGCCTGCACTCAGCTCACCATGTTCACAGAAGCTTCCCCTCCAGCCGGCCGGGCAGGTACAGGCCCCGCTGACATGGTCACAGGTTGCCCCATGCTCACACTTGCACTTCTGTTCACAGTTAGGCCCAAAGTACCCCTGGCGACACCCTGAGACACAAAAGCCAGCTCACAGTTAGTTAGGACACCAAGAGTCTGGCCTGACAAAGAAGCCCCTCCCCTCCCAATGGTGGGGATACTTGGCCTGACCACACCCCTCCTCCCTACCCTTTCCCCAGACCTCATCTTCAGAGCCCACATAGGCTCTCACTAGGACAGCCTCTAAAACCAGCTACTCTGACTCAGCCCATCCGCAAGCCTTGGAAGGACACATACAGGGGCCTAAGGAACCCTCCTCGCCCCCCACCCGGCTGGGGCAGCCCCAACTCTGCACCTGCTACTAAAGGCGAGCTTGAAGTCTGCCACTGACAGGTGCATGTATGGTATGTGTACACCGGAATACTCAGGTACATGTGTACGCGTGTAAATGCATATGCAAGTGTTCTCGTGTGTGTGGTCACATGCCTGGGCATGTCTGTGCACACTGAGAGAGGGGTACAAGTGCCAGGCCAGTACTCACACTGCTCACAACGAGGACCTTCGTAGCCAGCCTCGCACAGGCATAGGCCACTGATGGCATCACAGCTCCCATGGCCTGCAGTGCAGTTGCAAGCGTGGATGCAGTCGGGCCCCCAACGTCCACTGTCACAGGCTGCAACAGAGAGAGTTCAGTCACCTTGGGCGAGCTCCCCGGCCAGGTCGTACTGGGACAGGGGCAAGGGAGGGACCTGTGCACAAAGGTTGGGCAAAGGACCCACATACCTCTCTGGCAGCTGAGACCAGTCCACCCAGGAGCACAGCTACAGCGTCCAGTGGCTGCGTGGCAGTGCCCGTCGTTGGCACAAGCACACCTCATCTGGCAGCCAGTTCCAAACCAGCCAGCTGGGCAAGCTGTTGGTGATAAAGAGGGTGAGCATGGCAGCCTGGCGCACCCGCCCAGGGCCACTCGTGGAAGTTGAGGTCAGACACCAGCCATACTCACCATCCTGGCAGCGGCTACCAACAAAGCCAGGGAGGCACAGGCAGACTCCGGTCCCAGGGTCACAGCTGGCACCGTGTTCGCACGCAGGGCAGATCTCCTGACAGCCAAGCCCCCAACGGCCCTCGGGACAATCTAGAGCCCACTTCAAGGGTCAGTTATTCTTTCCCCTGTACCCTAGCTGACACACTGGTGTGTGCCCAATACATCACTGGAGGCCTCTCCTGCCATAATCCAGAGAGGGGACCACTGCTCCCATATAAGACTGCTAAGGAATGAGGCAGGCCTCAGAACTCCAGGGCTGCAGGGCACCCCAGGGACAGTTCAAGAGCAAAATAAAGAGCCTGCCAGAGAGACAGGGAGCTGATGACCCAGGAGGGCACAGTGCAGGGCCAAGGCTTGCTGGGCAGCTGCAGACACCGCCCACACCCCGGCTTGTTCCAGCATGAGTCCCTGAAGTTACCATAAAGGAGCCCAGCACTTCATGGTCAGGGCTGAGTTTCCAACATGGTTTACGGTGGGGTTCCCAAGCAGATCTGGGATCGGGGTCCCTAACTGTAGTCTAGACTGGGGTCCCCCAAACAGAGCTTGGACTGGGATCAAGGGTCCCTAAATGTGGTCCAGGGTGGTATTCTTAAACATAGCCCTGGGCTGGGCCTCCTGGGGCCAAGCAGCTGTCACTCACCTGCTCCACAGTCCTCCCCCGTCTTCCCCGGTGGGCACAGACACTGTCCTGTGACCCGGTGGCAGGGAGCCCCCACACAGGAGCAGGAACCTGAGCAGTTCACACCAAATGTTCCTTCTGGGCACTCTGCAGGCGAGAGCAGGTGGCTTCAGTCACTCTGTGTAGCTATCAAGGCTAGGAGCATCCTCTGGAGACCCACGGAGAACAGGACAGGTTGACGGGAACAGGAACTTGGCAGGGGTGAGGTCTGCAAGAGGTCAGTCTGGGGCACGGGGAGAGGCAGGGGCAGGAATGCCAGAGGGCCAGGCAACCTGTCAAGCAGACGCTATGGGCATCCAGGACCCTGGAGAGCTCCCAGGAGCAGGGGACAATTCCTGTTCCAGGGTGGTCCATCCAGGGGACCACTACTAGCCACTTCAACCAAGGTGTGTCAGTCTGTCCCCTCTGTTTCATACCCAGCCCCTCAGCCCCAAAGCTGTAGCCATCAGCTGGCAGGATGAAGGAGCGGGGTGGGAAGAAGTGGTAACCGGTACAAAGAGTAAGGAAGGACACCAGAAGTCTGGGGCCCTCCACACTCTGAAACTCAAGTTACACCAAGGAATACAGCAGTATAGGAATTAGGGTGTCCTGGACAGGAATGGTCAAAGGCAGGACCTCACGAATGCATACAGCCACTCCCCAAACTGCCCTGGGTACCGGGAAGCCCTGAGTGGTCTCACTTGGTAAAGCACCTTGTGCTCCCTATGAGAGCACTCCTCTCATGAGACTGGGGCAGGAACTGAGGAAGTCACAGCAGGATTTCTGCCTGCCTGGCATCTGCCCACTCTGCCCATTGCTGGAATGAAAGAGCAGGCCTGATGCAGAGGTATGGCAGGCAGCCGGCCACTCAGCGGGGATCAGGCATAACACATGTACATGCGTTAGATGCCTGACCATAGCACCCACGCAGGCGTGAGCACACACACGCATGCACGCACGAAGACAACCACACAGCACAGACCAGGGAGAGCGCCCAGCGTTGCTGGTGAGGCGGTCCCTCAAGGCCTCAGGAGCTCCTCCCCTGAGCACGGACTTGGGCTTGGGGCAGGAATAATTTCCAGACCTAATAACAAGGGAAAGGGGAACCATTTCTGTAAAAGTATGTGTGTCATTTCCTGTGGTTTATCCGTGGGGGCCCTGGAGGCTTCAATAAAGTAAAGAAAGGCAGAGGGGGTTCCTTTTCCTTTTAGCACAGGGGGCTGGTCCCAGGGCTGCTGGGAAGGCTGCACAGCTGCCTCACTGGGCCTGGCACGCAGCACGGAATCTGGAAAGGGAGGATAGAGGCTTAGGAAGGAAGGCATGTGATGAGTCTGTGTCTACACAGGCATGTGGGTATATGTGTGTGCGCATGTTCTGGGTGGCTCTGTTCAGAGGCTCGGTCCTGTCCACTCCCCAGACACTGAACGGATAGAAAGAGGGACCCTCGGAGCTGGGGAACAGCCTGAGACTAGAGTCCTGAGAGCATGCCAGGTCTGGGGACTCCAGACTGAGTCAGGAGCCCTGAATATTCTCTCCTGTGCCAACAAGACCTGAGAGCCCTTGCCAGGCCTCATCCCTCAGACGGATCAGCTTGGCTGACTCTGCCAAGCTGACCTCTGGACCTGGCTGGGTGGTGCTGGGAACGTTTCTGCTTTTCTCCCCTAAAGAGAGGGACAAGGGAGGGGATGGCTGTGGCTCCTGCACTCCTCCTTGTCCTTGCCCACCCAAAAATGGTCACACTCAGGCCCTGAAGCTCCTGTCTAATCTGACCAATGGATATACAGACAGCAAGAGTTAATGCGAAGAGAGGTTCAAACATCTCCAGCCTGCTGGCAACAGCCATACTGACTGCCACACAAACACCAAGGGCCTTGCCCCTCCCTCGAAGACTGTGACCACATGGCTCTATCCTTTCCTGGTCCTGAAGCTTTAAGCTGAATGTTTGAGAGTCCAGCCTGCCATCCCACAAGTTACACAGCTCAGATCCTCACGTTAAGGGTCACAGTCCATGGTACCTAGTCACGGGTGCTCTGCTGGTATAGGCCACATGCCCTAATCATCCCTCTCGGGTCCTCTAGGTCACGCTCCCCAGCCCTATATGTGCTGGACTCCAACAAATGAGTATGTGATTCACCAAGCCACCTGCTCCCCAGCCTTGCCTTGGGTCTCCCGTCTCCCTAATCTACCCCTCAGCAGTCTTGGGGCCCATTCTCCTACCTGCCAATTAATTAAGACTTTCTAGGCTCTGTGTTCATCCATACATGCCTGACTCAAGACCCCACGGCCAGGTGAGAACTCTCCAAAGCATCCTTCCCCCAGCGGCCACCCCGCTCCTTCTCACACCTGCTCCCTCTTGTTCCCTTCTCATCCATCTTGCCCAGACTCCAGCCCAGAGCTCTCCCAGGACCTTCAGTGAGGAGAGGAGTGAACTGCCATTCCACAGAGCTGCTGACCGTTCCTCTGACCTGAACCAGGCAGAAGAGTCAGTTCCTCCTCTGAACACCTCTAAGATAGTCCAGGCACCACCCTGCCACTGGGGTGACAGTAGGGACTATTGGCACGCAGCACCGGATCTGCAGCTTCCGGCCGGCTGTGTGCTTTTGCAATTTCCCCAGTACAGGTAACCCCAGGGGTCAGTCACTCACCTTGGCTACAGTCCTCCCCCTGGTAGCCAGGAGGACACTGTGTCCGACACTCGCCGCTCACAGGGTCGCAGGCCACACCCGGTGGGCAGGAGCAATGGTGTCTGCAGCCTGGCCCAAAGAAGCCTGGCTCACACGCTACAAAGTAAGAAACAAGACAGAAACGTGAGACAGAGGTGTGGAGCCGAGGCTCCCAGTGGCCCAGGACCTCCCTCTCCCGGG